GACCTGGTTTTAATGCAGCCAGGCCCAGAACAGAACCAGACCTGGTTTTAATGCAGCCAGGTCCAGAACCAGACCTGGTTTTAATGCAGCCAGGTCCAGAACCAGACCTGGTTTTAATGCAGCCAGGTCCAGAACCAGACCTGGTTTTAATGACGTGGCCCCTGAGGGCCTCATCCTCTGAGCTCAGATTTCTACAGATTCTTCTAATCTGAGGATCAGATTATGGACTGGAGAAGATGGAGGTGAAAGTCTTTACTCAGGAACTTTATTCTGAAGTTCTTGCTCTAGTTTTAGTCCGACTGCTGGACCTCTGCCCGTCTTTACGTCTCACAGTCTCTGTTGATCCTCTGACCCACCTGCGGGTAATGCACCTCAGTTTACAGAAACCCATGGAGATTGTTTTCTTCAGAATGTTCTGATGAACAGAACCGACTCCACGATGGAGGTGAGGGTTCTGTCAGAACCGGACCACCTGTTGAAGAACTGGAGGGTTCTCAGAGGGTTCTGATGACGCAGAACAAACTTAAGGCAACACAAGCCGTCCTGCTCAAGATGGATTACTACTTTTAGGTCTTTAATGGGACTGAAACCACTGAAGTGGGCTCGGTTTCAAATGGTCTGAGGTTCTGATCCGAGGAGGAAGCTGAACAGAACCGAACAGAACCGAACAGATTCTCTCAAGTTTTCTGTTTTTTAAAGCTGTGTGAGAAACTTGACAAGATAAAGTGTCAGAGGGAGAATATCATCAGCTCCTGCCACTGGTTACCATGGGAACGGACAAGGCACCACATACACACGCACGCACGCACTCACGCACGCACACACACACACGTACGTCCTGTTCACACCTGACAATGAGATGGATCTGTGCTGGTCTGACCGCAGGTTCTTCAGAGCTGTGATCGGATCAGAAACATGCCGGAGGTTCTGCCCGGTTTCACACCAGAACCTCGAGTCCAAACTGCTGGTTCCGAGTGTTTCGGGGACCGTCAGAAACTTGTAGAAGCTGCAGGAAGTTAATGGCTGCTGGTTGTTTACTGGCTGATCATCGTTGATGTGTTTCTTGATAAAAAGTGATAAAAATCGAGTCCGTTCTCGTTTCTAAACAATTTAACGGAACATCAGCACCGATGGCTAAAGGCCGATAAGAGCGTGTTAGTAAAATAACATCTCAAGCTGCTACAACTTGGTCAAACGGAGCGGTTTTGAGCCAACATTTGTTGTGGTAGTAGCTGAGGGTCATCCTCAACATCTCAATAAGAGAGAACTCAAAACAAACTCTGAGGTTTGACCAACGTGGACGATCTGAAACTGAAGTTCTGACCTGAAAGGTGGCGAGACGTTATTTTATTGGAGTCAAACTGGTTTGTAGAGGTGAAGAAGACAGTCCAGACAGGATGGAGACAAGTTTCAGGAGTGATGTGTGACAAAAGGGTGGCAGCCAAGGTCAATGTCCAGAGGAGGGACAGTGGTTTGGACATGTCCAGAGGAGGGACAGTGGTTTGGACATGTCCAGAGAAGGGACAGTTGTTTGGACTTGTCCAGAGGAGGGACGGTGGTTTAGACATGTCCAGAGGAGGGACGGTGGTTTGGACATGTCCAGAGGAGGGACAGTGGTTTAGACATGTCCAGAAGAGGGACAGTGGTTTGGACATGTCCAGAGGAGGGACAGTGGTTTGAACCTGAAAAATGCGGGCTTTTGGACCTGTGATGAGGACTGAGGGTCGTGTCCATCACGCGTCCACAGCTCTGCAGTTGGAGCTGGTCTGATGCTCCAAAGTCTCAGAAGGAGTTATAAAACCGGTTCCTTGGTCTCTTCAGATGAGGACAAGACTCACTAAATGTCCACGTGTCTCAAAGCTTGTTAGCTCCTCGGAGCACGTCACCAAGATGGAGGCAGTCAAGGACACGAGGTGAAACGGTTGTTGGACGGGGAATAAAAGACGCAGGTGATGGGGGGACACCCTGCAGAGGGTCCCTGGATCAACAGGAGGGAGACCAGGCTAGAAGACCTGTCCCAGTTTGTACTTCCTCTAAATATCCAAGTGTTTAAAGTCTTGAAGCTCCACCAGAGTTGATCTGAAGAGATCACTAAATTATTTAATTGGTAGCAGCCGTGCGCTGCTCTGGGTTATTTTTGAAACGAGGCCTCCTGTGGCTCTGGCATCCATTTTGAAGTCGTCTTGCTGTAGAACCTGACGGATGAACTCACCTGGACTCGGAGTCGTACGGTCTCTGCACACGAAGAAGAACGCACGGCGGTGGCAGCTCGGTAGTCCTACTGTAGCACCGTGACGGTTTCAGCCCTGCAGGTGCAGGACCAGCGCTCTGACGTCATGTTTGTGTGGACCTACGATGAACGGTCCCTTGTCCTAGGCTGATGTTCTCATCTTCTGGTTCTTTGGATCAGTGGTTTTACGTTTGATCCTCCAGTGAGTGGTCGTGGATTCATACAGCCAGTTTGTCCAAACGAGGTCCTCAGGGTTCGAGTCCTGCAGGACCAAATGGACCTGAAGTCTTGGAGAAAATAAGAAAACAAGATGTTTCCTGCAATGAAAGGCAGGCAGACACGTGTTGTTAGTAAAATATCTTGTGAGCCAAAGTTGATAAAATCTCTAAGAACTCTACAGCTCAACAATCGTTTTATCGTCACTCGGGTCCAAACAGAACCACTGGACTTCTGAGGTTGAAGATGCTTCTGTTCCCATCTGGAGAACTTTTTCAGTTCAGACCTGGAGATCCAGCTCCAAGCTTTGAGGTGATCTCTGCCGCTGAACTCACATGCAGATTCATCTCCCTCCCCTCCCTCCTGAGGGTCATTAGTCTTTGTTGGCCTGGCTCACAGAGGTTTGGGTCTCATGGGTGAAACAGGCCGAGCATCGGACTCAGAAAGCTGAAACCTGAGACCTCCTCCTCCATTTAAATATGTTTTTTGTCCATCTTTACCCCCGTCTCAAACCTTCTGTCCTCTCTGTCCAAACTGTGGACACGTTGGTGTTCTTTATCCTTGAGGTGCGGGTGATGAATTAAAAACTTCTTCCACTTCAGAGCAGAAGTCCAGTTTTAAATGTCCTGAATGACTGAGACTCTGCATGGTCAACTTGTCCCACCGTCTTTGCGGGGACCTGCTCTGGACATCATGGGGACACCTGGTCCTCCCATTCTGACCGGACTGTTTCAGAACTTGGCCTCAGGTTTGAGTCAGATCTAACTGAGGTTTTCATGCTCGTGTGAGTTATCAGTCCCGTCCAGCTCGGCAGAGCTTCCTGCCAAACATCCGTTTCCTTGGCAACAAGACAGGAAGCAGGAAGTGTGAGTCACAGGAAGTACTTCTAATCACTGTCCAGTCTTCTTTCTTTAGTTGTTTTCTTGTCTCCAGCAGGTCCTCCTGCTGTCTGCGTTGCCGTGGAAACAGGTTTTATAACCAGACCAGCTGGTTAGCATGCTGTTAGCAATTAACGACGTAGCAGCTGCCTGCCAGTATGCTAACACGAGCTAAAAGGAGGTTCCTCTGATGTTCTTCAGAACAAAGGAAACGTGGCAGAACCACGAGGGCTGAACCTTCAGAACATTTAAAGTTCTCCAGGTTTTGTGAGTTCTGACATGTTCATTTGGCTGAAAAGGAGCTAAATTTAAAAAACGAACATCTTCAGAGTAGCATCGTTTACTCAAAGTTCTGCTGGGTTGACGTCCGTATCAAACAAGATGTTAGAGAAACACCGAGGCAACGCAAGAGCGTAAAGTTCTGGAAACTAAGATAAATAAAATCATCACCATGATAAAATAAAAAAAAAAAAAAAATCTAAAACAAATTTATTTTTAAACCTCCTGAAACATCCAGAAACACAAAAGTTCTTATTAGATCTGCTACAATCTGCTCGTATTTAACCAAACATAAAAACGTAGTTTTCTTGATGTTTGGCGTTTCGTTCGGAGCGAGTTCGTGTCTGTGATTATTTTATGACTTTACGTTGAATGTAGTGGCTGCAGCCCCGGCGGGTCACACGGCTCCTGTCACTGGTTGTAGCTGCGGCTGGATGTGTCGCTCTGCAGGTTTCAGGCAGAGCGAGTTGGTAAAATGCTCCTCGCTGTCAGAAGAGACGGTGTTTCCATGTGAACGGCTCCCCAACCTAAAAATGTCCTCAACATCTGATCCAACTCTGGTTTCAGTCCATCCTCCGACTCCTGACTTGTTTTATCCTCTTCTCCTCCCTTCCTCCACATCCTGGCCTTCCTCTCCTTTACTTCCCACCCACATCCTCCCCCTCTTCCTCCCCCTCTTCCTCTTTCTACAGGATGGGCTGGGCAGCTCTCTGAAAATAATCTGAAGACCTGCTGCTCCTCCAAAACGATCCCTCTCGTTTTAATCCCGCTGATAAAAACTCAAGTCCAAGATTACCTGACCCGGTCCGCAGAAGGAACTACAACTTCCACAGGAACTCAAGACATCCCATCCTCCATCAGAACCAGCTCCACGACACCCAAACCACCAAGATCCAAACTTCAGGACCCGACCAGGACCCAGCCGGCCTCGGAGGACCACAGGACAGGACTTGGTCAAGGCCAGTGGAAAAGTTTGATGGGCCAGCTGACTGTAGGTGAGTGTTCGAACTGGTTTCAGGACGTTTGGTTGTCTGACCTCACTGGTGCACCAGTGAGGTTTGGGTTTTCCATCAGCTGATGGACCTGAGCTTTGATTTCCTGTTTTTAAAGTCTGAAGTCTCTGTTTGGGTTTCAGTTAAATGAAAGCGCTGAACCACCGCGTTACTGTTTACTGCTGATAGTTGAGTTCAGCTTTATGTTCCTGTAACCCGTTTACCTTCAGTTCTGGGAGTTAAAATCTGACACCGGACCAAATTTATGCCCACCAGAACTTTCAGATTTTTTTATACGCCCGTTGAAAGGCGGGACATATTATGGTATGGTCTCTGCTCCTCCGTAAACTTTCTCTGGTCCCGCCCATAACTTGACACAGAGAGGCTTTGAAGGTCAACTGATTGATTTTAAATGAGCACAAACAAAAAGGCGACGTGGCAGCAACAAATTTACAAACCCAGGAGGAAAACGAGGAGGACCGAGGCGTGAACGTTTCAGGACGGTGAGCGGCTGCACTGCTAGAGACTGGTCATACAAGGTGGGGGTGGGGGGCACCTGGAATGATTGCCGATTAGGAACAGGTGGGCGTGTGGACTAACTGGAAAAACAGAGGAAGCTGACTGAGGGTAAATGAGATGAGACTGGAAAACATGAACACAACGATGAATCTAAATCTGACGAATGGAAACACGAGTAGATAAGAGTCTAAACTACCGGAACAAAAAATAACAAGTTCACAAACAAAACATTTCAAAGATCCTGACAAATTAACTCAGATAATCACTGAATAGTAAACAAAAACACACATGACAACCAATTCTATCAGCCCAGCTTCAAGGTCACAAATCAAGGTCAAAGTTACAACGAGGTCTTTGTCGTTGCTGCTGTATGAGTTTGTGTCGGACATGATGTGCCGTGTACGGTATTTTTGTTATTGATTGGACTTTGTTATCTCCTCGGTTCTCTTTGTCCTTCAGTTGTCCTGGAAGACGTTACTGAAGCTGTGACCACTCTTGCGGCCCTGAGTGCAGCATCAGTTGTTGATCAGCTTAACACCAATCAAAGTAGGATTAGGAGTGATCTGTAAACATTCAGTCTGTGTAAAATAAGTGGATTTTAAAAATTAATGCTACGTCACGGATGCGTTTGACGATCCAGTCCAAGTTTATTGGTAAAGCACTCGAACGCACCACAACAGACCAACGTGCAGTGCAGAGTCCACGTTAAAACAAGGCTCAAACAAAACACAAGTGAAATAAAACCAGACAATAAAAGATATGATCAAACAATAACATTAAAATGAACGATAAAATCAAAAAAATTAAAGCAAGTAAAAAAAAAAAAACAACAAAGAGCAAAGTGTTAAAAGCCAAAGAACACAAGTGGGCTTTAAGAAGAGTTTTAAAATCAGATAATGTAGAGGTCTGTCTGAAGTGGCAACGTCATTCAAAGATTTAAAAACTAATAAAATTATTTTAAAATGGATCCCAAAACTTACAGGCAGCCAGTGGAGCAAAGACAAAACAGGAGAGATGTGCTCATCATACGTGGACGAGTTAAAAGCCTCGCTGCATCATGTTGGACCTTATACAGTCGGACCATGGAGGACCCACTAACCCCCAGATAAAGTATGGAGGACCCACTAACCCCCAGATAAAATATGGAGGACCCACTAACCTCCAGATAAAATATGGAGGACCCAATAACTTCCA